TGGTCATGCTGCAATCACTTCTCCATTCTCCTCTCGGGATCTTGGGCACACGCACACACACGCACCCGGCGTGAGTTTTAAGCCACCAGGTCCGGGACGTGAACCACGGTTGACTATGTGGGAGTCCAGCGATATAGCCATTACGCTAACTGCTGGTTCCCAATAATTGCATTGATTCTTCAGTATCTGATGGAATACTTACTTTTTCATTTCTTGATTAGATTTCTTCAGTAACAATGTTTATTATTTATTGATTGATTTAATTTGGGTCTTTATTTGTATGGACGGAGCTACCAGTTGGGCTACTAGGGCCTCCAGTTCAGTGTTTTTGAGCTCTAGGTGAAGTTAAAATCACGCACTGGTGTATAGGCAGTTGATTCTCTCAAACTGAAGGCAATAGCTGCTCAGTACTGTGCTTCCTGAGTTCTTAGACCCTGTAGAGGGAGAAAGGGAGGTCGTCAAGTGAAAATATCAGTTGAATATAGTTAATGACCTTTGACTTGGATGAGTTGCACACAGGATGGATGCGTTGTTTGAAAAATTGTGATAAAAGGAGTGGTTAGTCCTTTAGTTATCCAATTGTGTGCAATCCCTGAAGACAGAAGAAGCTGTTTTTTCCAGAGCCTGGCTCCCCTCAGCCACAGCATTCCTCTACAGGTGGTTCAATGTAGGTGGGCATGGCAGACACTGTTGTTGGTATAGGAGGAGACCCGGCGTGACTTCTCTCAAGGCTGTAAGTAACTATGCACGCCTCGGTGCAGCTGGAAGCTTGGGCTAGAGTTGAAGCAAGTCTCTGTCACTGGGTTTAGTGGGGTATCCTTAGGCCCCAGTATTAGGCTGTGAATCAGTGCAGGAACTGCAAAAACTCTATACTCCAGTGGGTGGGACTGGCAGCTGCAGACCTGTGGATGTCTTTGCAGCTTGGTGGCAGGGCTGTACACTGTGTCTATCTACAGAGCCAAGAAGTAGGACTAAGGCTTGAATTTGCACTGAACTTCCACCCACACATTCCTTGGCAGTGCAGGGTATATAGTCTTTGTTTGTTTGTGTCTGTGCAAATGGAGGGAGAGGCTGCATCTCACCCATCTAGGCCCTGTGAGAGCTACCTGTGCTAGTCTGTGTGCTAAGGCACCTGGGACTCGAGAAGGTAGAATGATGCCCAATCTGTTTCACCACCCTGACTTAGAGAAAGTCCCTGGCATCTTTCCATTTGCTAGTGGCTCCACCCCATTCCTTCACTCACACTATTCCAGTAAGTGTGGAGATGCTGCTCTGTAGAAGGAAAGAAAGGAGACAGGGCACTGCTCTGTGTGTCCCAAGTAAGCAGGAAAAGTGGGAGTATAACCCTTGTCAGTTAATCAGGGGAATTGTCCTGATTTAGCTTTTGAGGTAGTGCTGAGCCTTGAGTTTGATTAGGTATGGGGAGAGTTCAGCGCTATCTCAGAGTTGGCTGACCCTTGCAGCTCTCTAAGATGAGCTCATGATCGGTTTCTCTGTTGGTGCCCTGCTACAGCTCGGAAGTTGTGGTTTGAGGGGGAAGCAGGGAACTGAAAGCTGGGAGGGGTGGGGAGTCCTGCTCCCTTTCCCCTGTCCTAGGAGACCTTTGTCATCTCTGGTTCTTTTCAGAGTTTTTTAATTTTTGCTCTAGGGTGCATGTACTCACTGGAGACAGAGACAGAAGGAGAGGGAAAATGAGAAAATGTCCTAAGGGGGCATGACCACGCCATAATTCTTCCTCCTCCATTCTCTTTCTGGATTTAGGGCACACAGGCACATGCCCTCCATGATTTTCATGCTTCTGGGTCCAGCACTTGAGCCGTGTGGTGAGTCTTGTGGAATCCAATACCATCATCAGCTGCCTTCCCATCCACTTTTACATAATGATTAGAAAAAATGTTCAAAATTCTTGTCTAGACCCATTACTTATTTGGAAATACAAATTGCTGATATTCTAATTCTTTTTGCTTCTTTGCAATTGACTTTTGGTTACTGATTTTGTGTTAACCAACTTTGATAAACTCTTATCCATTTTATAATTAATCTGTGGATGATTTCATAGACAACCATGTCATAGGCAAATAATTATAGCCTTTTTTTTCCTTTTTAATAATCATAATATTAATTTCCTTTTCTTGACTAGAGTACCCACTATGGTTAATTTCCCAAGATGACAGATTTATTTCTTTTTTTATAGACCATAGTTTAGTTTATTGTTAACACCCATCATGCCATGAATTCATAAGGAAGAAAGCTTAAGTTCCTTTCTATTGGTTTCCACAAAGTGTATATCTCTGGGAGGAGCAGGCTGGCACTTCAGGTGCCTTCCAGATATAGTCCTCCTTGGCTTACTTCTTTTCTGGTCATTTCCCTTCACACATTTTAGAAAGCTATTTCTGTTCTTAGTAAAATGCTTAATATGCTCAATATGCCCATTCATTCTCTTGGCAAGAATCTTGGCCTTAGCTTGTTTCTTTACAACAGTTCCAACAGTTTACTGGGTACATTGTAGACTCCTCCAGTTCTGCTATGGTAACATTTGTGGGGCATTCCCTTTTGGTCCATGTGAGGATGAACCTCTTCATGGATGATTAGATTAGATTCCCTATCATGTATCCAGAAGTGGATTTATTTCTACTTATTCCTGACAAGCATCTTTTCCTGGAGTGCTATCATACAAGTCTGATCAGTTATTTCACATGCTTTCTGGTACCTAAAAGGACATAACACATGTGAGTGCTTATTATTTTTATGAAGTTATTTTGCATTCTTTGATGTCTACAATATCACCTTTCTTGTAGATTCACATGTATGTTGCCAAAGGAACCACTCCATGTTTTCTAAAAGGCCTAGAGAAAAAATATCTGGTGCCTCTCCTCTTTCCATTTGTGTTTGTCATTTTGGAGAATTACTGGAAGATGTTGGTTTTGGCCAAAGGGCTATTAGGCTATTTATTTATTTATTTATTTATTTATTTAGAGTTCTTTGCCTTAGGACGTCTGTGCTCACCGGAGAGAGAGAGAGCAGAGACAGTGTGAGGGGAAGTGAGAAATCACCCGCTACAGAGGATGGCCACACCACAGTCCCTTCACCTTTATTCTCTTCTCGGGATCTTGGGCACCCACGCAATGCACGAGGGCATGATTTTCAAGCTACTGGGTCTGGGACTAAAACCAGAGTCAGCCAAGTGGGAGTTTAATGACATAACCGCTACACCATCTGCTGACCCTGGTAGATCTCATTTATAATTTTTACAGCTATACTGTTAGAAACATAAAACTTTAAATTGTTCTTTCCTTCTTTCTCTTGGCTCCATTTGAGACCTCACTGTCTTCATGGATGATTAGATTAGTTTCCTATCATGTATCCAGAAGTGGATTTATTTCTACTTATTACTGACAAGCATCTTTTCCTGGAATGCTATCACGCAAGTCTGATAAATTATTTCACATGCTTTCTGGTACCTAGGAGAACATAACGCATGTGAGTGCTTATTATTTTTATCAAGTTATTTTGCATTTTTTTTGTTTTACTCCTAGTATCGTATTCCCCAGTTCAGCAGTTCCATTTGCTTTCCTACTATTGAGACAGAGTCTGGAAGATGTGAGAGTTCAGTGGGTGCCTGGATGACTTCTAGGTTCATGCCTCAGGAAGAAGGAACTCCTGGAAGGGAATGAAGAATGGTAGTTGGAGGGGTAATAATTATTTCTAGGTATCCCCACATATACAAGGCATTTTGGTGGACAGCCGCACACACTCGGTCTCCATTAATTTTCATCATACCCCTGTAAAGATGGCATGAAGCCACATAGTATGTGAAAGCTGGCGTGGGAGTGTGCAAAGAAATACAGATGGGGTCCACTGGATCTTTGCTCAGTGCTCTATTTACAATCCACAGAATCACTCTTTGGCTTCCTCTAAAAGCTACTTAAACTAAAGATCAACAAACTACATCATTATTCTTACTATTAAAAAACTATTCAGATAGAAAGCCACAGCGCCAATAGTAACTAACACCCATGCATGTCTCATTTGACATCTAGACAGTTTTTAATCATTCTATCCTATCAGGTTTATACTAGATACTAGAGAAAATTTATGTAAAACCCATTTTATGTCCCTAAACAATGTGAAGTCTTATACACATATAAATTACATCATAATAGGGGAGGCAAACACAGATACACATAAAAACACATATGTGCATGCACACACACACACACAAGTGATGATCACTATGAAGGAAAACAAGACATGACAGGGATCTAGAGTCTAGAGAGAGGGTGATAGGAATGCTCACACTAATAAGGTCATCAGCTAAGACAGCTCCAAAAGTGCAGCATTTGAGCAGTGCTTCAGTAAAATCAGAGGCAAGGGTTATATGTTTCAGAGAACAAGCTTTACACATGCAGGGATAGCAACTGCAATAGCCTAAAACGGGAATATTTTTGATGTGATTACAGAGACCATTGTGGATAGACTATCGGCAATAAGAGCAGGATGGCAGGGAGTGATGGAAGAGGGGAGAGAGAAGTATACAGGAACCAGCTCTGCATGGCTTACATGCTCAAGGAATGGTGAAAGACTTTATCTGAGCATGGTAGAAAGCCATTAGAAGACTGAGAACCAAGGAGTGAAATGATATGGCTAAACAGTTTAATGATTCTATTGTCAAATCTGTGCAAAATGGACTGGGAGTAGGATTAAGAATGGAATTGAGAAAAATGAAAGCTATTACAAATTCCTGGTAAGAAATGGTGGTAGCTTCGACTGGAGTGATCATCAGTTGGGTTGGTGGGAATGGTCAAAGAATGGGGAATGAGTATATTGTACTTGGATAACTGCAATGCTTTACTGAGAAGCTAAAAAGGGTCAGAGACAAAAGAGAAGTACAAGATTTAAGAAAATGAAAAGGGGGAAAAAGAAGATTGTATCTGCTGTCTTGAAAGATGGAAAACTATGATCACATGAATTCCATAATTTTTACATTTTTTCCCACATAGATCTACAATATCTTCCCATGGATCATGAATTTCATTCCTGGAACTCACCACACTCTCTTCAGAAACTGGGAAAAACTGAAATTATTTGTTGCAAAAGTGATTGAAAAACATAAGGAAGACTGGAATCCTGAGGAAACAAGAGACTTTATTGATGCTTACCTCAAGGAAATGGCAAAGGTGAGGAAATGAAAGTTGTTTCCTGTGTTTTGTTGTGAAAGAACAAATATGGGTATAGCAGTGTCAATTTGATGCTGTAATAAATCAACACAAACTTGTCACAACAGTGCAAAATTATTTCTTACAGTTCTGGATATCAGAAATCTAAAGTCTCACAGGACTAAGTCAAAGTATTGGTCTAGATGGCTACTTCAGGAGGCTCTAAATAAGAATCCATTTCAGAGACTTTTCCTTCTTCTAGAAGCTTCTAATATACCTTGCTTTGAGTTGCGTTCCTTCATATCCAATGCTTGCAAAGGAGTGTCTTCTCTACTCTCTGATCTCTACTTCTACCTTTATATCTTCTCCCTCTGACTTTGACTTTATAACCTCCCTTTTGTAAAGTCATTTATTTTATTCCAGGGCCCACTGGGAGGATCCTGCATAATCTAGGCATCTCAAATTCCTCAACTAAATCAGACATGCAAAGTTTGATCTGGAAGCAGTATAAGCGTTTGTTAAATATTTTATCCATTGTCTCTCATGTAATTTATCATGTTATCTTAGTGGATGTATATTGTCACTTTCATCTATAAAACAAAAAACTGAAGCTCAGAGAGGTCAATTAGCTGACCCTAGATGACATAGCTACTGAGTGACAGGGCTAATATTGGGAGCCAAGTCAGTTTGTTCACCTCTGTTTCTTCTAATATTATACAGGTAACTTATTTCTACTTATTGGCATAAGGAAACAGTTACTTAATCTTCACCCACTCAAGTGCTGGAAGGTTTTTTTTTTTTTTTTTTAGAGGTATATGCAATAGGGCACGTGCACTCGCCAGAAAGACAGAGAGAGACAGAGAGACAGAAAGCGAGAAATCACCCCCCAGTGGGGATGGCCATGCCACAATCCCTTCTCCTCCATTCTCCTCTCGGGATCTTGGGCATGCACACACACGTGCCCAGCGTGAGTTTAAGCCACTGGGTCTGGGACTAGAGCCCTGGTTGACTACATGGGAGTTCCATGACATAGCCATTACACTAACTGCTGGTCCCAATGCTGGAAGTTTTTTGATAGCTTTCAAAACTTGGAGCTGGACGATACTAATGATACTGCTTGTAATAAGGCTCTATCTCCTGAGGAGTCCAAAGGAAAGTCATTATTCCTGGAGACCTTGCTTCCAAATCTCCTCTGTAGGATAAAGCCCCTGTGTGTTGTGGTAACTATGAATCTACTGAATAAACCAATAAGCACTGTCCTTTCTGACACAAGGGCAATGCATCTTCAAGTTTTGATGAAGAGAACCTCATCTGCACCACCCTGGACCTATTTTTGGCCGGAACTGAGACAACTTCTACAACATTGCGCTGGGGTCTGCTTTACTTGGCCCTCAACCCAGAAATCCAAGGTGAGCATGTCCATGAGAGTGTCTTGGAACCAGGTAGAATAACCCCTCCTGAACACACCACCCAAAGTTGGGGCCAGAAGGGAGCCATGGAAAGGAAATGTCAGTAGAGCCGACATTAGATGATGTGGTCTTGGGAACTGCATGCTCATATTTTCTGTCATAGCTGTGATGAGCCCAAGTAATAGAAATTTAGCAGAAAGTTTTTGTCTCAAGAAGATCAGAGTTGGGGGAAAACAGAGAAATCAATTGACAATGCAATGTTCCAGGAAAGAGTTACCTTTCACAGGAAAATATGATTTAGCCCTTCCCTCCTTTTAAATAATGCCATCCCTCTTTTCCCTTGAAAATGTCCAAATTCCTTCATCTGGCTTATAGTACTCTCTGCTATGCCCCTTTCTGTCTGCTAGCCTGAACCCCACCCATGCTGCTTGATATCCCCACTAAATTATACACCATTTCTTATACTATCCTTATTTTATTTATATCTCTTATGTCATGACATCAGCTTTTCTCTCCACCAAGTAGGTTCTTCCCCAATTTCTCTAACTTTTTTTGAAGAATTTGCTCAAGCTTGTCTCCCTAAGATGTTTTTCTACTCCTATGGGATATTCTGAGCTAGGAAATCCTTAGCATTTTCTTTATACAGAAATGGCCTAATGGTCCTTCATTACTCTGCCTAATGCACTTTATTTGTATACCCTCTGCACATGCCCTATTTCATGTAAAAACAATGAATGTTCATCCCTGTTTTTCTTCAAGGTTTTAGAACAATTTGAGCACTTGGGGAATGGGAATTGTAGAAGAGATTTTCAAAATGTGGGTATAAATGTATTACTGGGACATGAGTTCAATTTAGTGGATTGAGACTCACAATTTTTTCCTAAGATGCAAATGGAATAGTACATATTACAATACTTGTTAATGTATTAAGGGCATATTTGTTCATCAAACTTTATTTCTTTCATATGTGTGTGTGTGTGTGTTTATATGCAGATTGCTTTGACAACAGTGTGAATATAATTAACTCTACTGAATTGTCCACTTAAAAATAACTAAGATGATAAAGTTTATATTTTGTGTATTTTCCTAATTAATGGTTTCTTAACTGGACAGTTTGAAAATGGTAGAAGATCACTTCTCTTACAGGTTTAACAATAGTATAAACTGGACTTGGCAAAACCGGATGATTCCAGCTCCTACTAATGTGTTTCTCTGCTGTGTCTAGAGGGATATCCTTTTAGAAACTCTCTGAGATAGTGCACTAGTAGGGCTGCTATTCCACCAACAGAATGGGGAAAGTAGGAGGGATGCACACTCCCTTCCTTTAAGCACTGAGTTCAAGGATTAAATTTTACTTTTATTTATATTCTATTGGTCAGAACTTAGTCACATGGTCACTATTATACAAAACATAATCTGGGAAATGGAGTCTTTTGCTCCACAACAAAGTATTCAGCTCAAATTTATTTCTAAGAAAAAAGGAAAACACATATTTGGAGACAACCAGTATTAGATCATTTCTTGGGTGCTTTCTTAAACCAACACATGTAAATTTCAAAATATCCTAAAGATTGAGGTATATGTTTCCCCATTAATAGATGAGGAAACTGGGGCTCTGAGAGTTTAAGGAGTTTACAGCAGTCGCATTGCAGAGTAAGAATTTGCCACCATATTGTTCCTATGCCAGCACGCATCATTCACACTCATGAATCGCCTTGAGAAAATAGGGTCTGTAAATCTGCTATGTTCTGAATACTTATGTCCCTCTTCAAATTCATGTGTTGAAACCTAAGTGTGGTATTATTAGAGGTGTGGCCTTTGGTAGATGCGTAGTCCCCATGACTGAGATTAATGGCCTTATAAAAGTGACGTAGAGAGCTGCCTTCTTTCACCTTCAAGGACACAGGGAAAAGTTGCCATCTAGGAACCAGAGAGTAAGTCCTCAGCAGACACTAAATCTGCTGGTGCCCTGATCTTGCACTTGCCAGGCACCAACACTGTGACAAATACATGTCTTTTATTTTTAAGCTACCAAGTTGATGTTTTGTTAGAGCAAACTGAATAGATGAAGAGAGGTTCCTCCTGTGGGCTTAGCCAAGTTGATCCTGGGTATTCCGTCCCTTCACCTAGTGTGGCTCACGGTAAGTTATAATGTTAGTAGTTTTCTGGGTAAGCCCTCTGAAGGATTCAGAATTATTTTAGTTCTTTGCAACCTGTTCAGAAATTGAAATATAATAGGTGAGATATGAGAGAAGACTCCTATGTCTTTAGAAGAAAGCATAAATTCTGAAAAATAATAGAGCTTCCTCTCCTTACCCAGAAAAAGTCCATGCTGAGATTGACAGAGTGCTTGGCCAGTGTCAGCAGCCAGGCATGGCGCTTCGAGAGTCCATGCCCTACACCAACGCCTTCATCCATGAGGTGCAGAGGATGGGCAACATCGTCCCCCTGAATGCTCCCAGGGAAGTGACAGTTGATACCACTTTGGCTGGATACCACCTGCCCAAGGTAGACAGGCAACCCAGCCTCCAATTGTAGTACCTGAACTTGAAAAGTGACATGTGCTTTTTGTCTTAAGGAATCACTTAAATGGAGAGTTATACAGTACTTGATAATTACCATTTTTTTCCTCCGTGCATGATCTTTAGAACATTAGTTTCACTAGATATTAATATGAAGTGTGGGAGTGAAGAAGGGAAGATTCCTTGTTCATGTTTGGGCAGAGACTGGCTGTTCTTTTCTGTGAGAACCTCAGCATTTGTACTGTGATGAGGAACTTTGTGAATCTCTGTGGGCACACAGTCAGGAACGGTTCTCAGTTAGACTCTGGCACAAAACCCATTTCTTAGTGTTGTGGAGTGTCTCACTGAACTATGGATCTGCCAAAGTGACTTCAGAAAATGTTGCTTCACAATTCTGAGATTATAGAATGTAAAAAATGTAGAGTATTAAAGGATGGCGAACCTAAGCTTAGTGATAACATGGCAAAAACATTCTCATCAAGGTAAATAACATTTAAAACATTGAGATGAGAGGGCATGTAGCATGTTTGGTAACTAGAAGCTGGCATTCTAGCTAGGGGGAGTGCATCCCAGACAGGTCTTATCCTCTGAGAATGGGAGGCTATTGAAGAGCATGGAGTTGGAGGTGTGTGCAGGTGGAGATGTGGCATTGTTTAATGTTCAAATAACATTCTGCTTTCCTGGGATGGATCAGATTGAAAGGGTCAAGAGGGCATGTAGGGCATAGTTAGGCTATTACAGGAGCCTTGGCAGGCAAGGTGGCATCTTGGACTAAGGTGGCAAACAGCGAATGAAGTTCAAGACCAAGAGAATGTTATTATAAAATTGACCAATCTTGCTCTGTGTTGGAGGAAGGCAGAGTCAGGGAAAGTCTCATTTCAGGGGATTCCTTTCCTTCACAGTATGTACCTGGATGAATAGGGGTTCTTTATCTGAGCTTCCTGATTTTATTATTAAATCAACTATAGAGAGAGAAGGTATAGTATTTCAATAGGTACTAGAGGGAAGCAAATGGGAAAAACAGATGAAGAAGACACCTCTTCCTTGGAATAGATGCCATAGTTATGGCTTCACTTAGCATCTGGCTTGCTTTTGGCATAGCACAGGCTACTAGCTGTCACATGACCTTCTCATGGATGCATGTGTGCCCTTCCCCAAGTTCTACACTTGAGGAAGATCCATTCTGCAGACCGTAGTAGTGAGCCCCCTGAAAAAAATTCCCAGAAGGCAATTCCAATCCATCATTGTAAGTTGTTCCATTGAGGTTTCTTGAAGATGGGGTCAGGAGAGAGTGCTTTGGGCAAGATAGGGGAGCTCAAAGTACAATCAGACTCCTGTGTGGCAGCCAGAGGATACTACCCATTTGTTGTGTTTGTATTATGTGGATCAAACATTGCTTGAATGTTTTCTATTTTCTTTAGGGGACTGTGATCCTAACCAATTTGACTGCACTACACAGGGACCCCAATGAGTGGGCCACCCCTGACACCTTCAATCCAGAGCATTTTTTGGAGAATGGACAGTTTAAGAAAAGGGAAGCTTTTCTGCCTTTTTCAATAGGTAAGTTATAATAAAGAGGAATGTGAATGGCAGGGCCCTCCCCTATCCTGTTTCCTAGGGTCCCTTCTGTGTTACAAATATCTCTAGACACCCTGTCCAGGGTGACTCCATCCTGTTGTTTTCATAGCCCTGGGCTGGGCATAACTTCAGACCTCCCTTATTTCTGAAGCCCTCCCTGGCATCAGATGGCAATTTCAGCTTCTCTCTCTTCTGGCCTCCTAAACACTGGAGACAGAGATCTAGATATCACTTCTTACCCACAAAGAAGACTAGATGCCTGGCATCTTTATAGACTTTCTAAACGTCCTAAGATCTTTTTAAGGACTTCCCATCACACAGAAATAGAGCTTATTTATAATGAGACAAAAAGGCAATAAGGGCAAGAGGGTACAGACCATGTGGGCATCATGCCATGACTCTGAAGGCTTCTGGCTTTACTAGATTGTGTGGTACTCTATAAGAGTCCCTGCAGAAACACTTTGGCCTTTTTTAGTTGTTTTTTCAAATTGAGTTAGTACATTTATGTGGTATACAACTTGAATGGAAGGGAAGAATGAAACTCTCTCTCTTTCTCACCCATGTTTTCAAGCCAGCCACTTCTATAAAGTATTTTTAACTCCTAACTTTTTTAAATCAATAATGAAAATTCTTAGTATATTCCCAGGTATTGAGTTAGAGTTTTTATATATATTATATCAATTCGTTTCTCAATTTCTTTTTTTAAAGAATTATTTATGTAATGTTATTTATTATCATTATGTTTTAAATTTGGCCAAAGAGAGACAGAGAGAGAGAGAAAAGGGGAAAATGAGAAAGCAAAATACCATGTCCACGACTCTCAGTGGTCAGTCACATAGGAATCCAGCCTCTTAACTACCACACCATGTGCCGACTCAGTTCTCCACTTTCTTAATTCCATAAATATTTGCTCAGATATATTCTATGTCAAGCATTCAGCCCTGAAAATATGACAATGAAGGAAGCACAGAATGAAATAAAACAGAACTGTCTCATGGAGCAAGCATGCACATTGCTTGTTACAAGGTCCACATTATTATCGGTTTAGAAATAAGGAATCTGAGGTTTAATCAAATGTGGAAACTAATGTCATAAAACTCCTGTGGCAGAGCTGGGACTGGGACCCAATGCTGAACAAATTTATTTAGAGCTGAAGCGTGGCTTTTTCCTCACATCATCTCCTGAAAAGTCCTTATTGCCACATAGAACCTACACTATGGATGTATGATAGTTTATCTACCATTTATTTAAAATATAACTTGATTTCCCAAGATAGTATCATTTTGCTGATACTGTCCCTAAGCCTCAGAAAGGGAGGAACTGGAATTTGCCCTCGTGTCTATGTAACTCCAAAGTCTGTGCTTTCTCGCCACGCTGTGCTGCCCTGGGTGTGTCTATGCAGATTCTAATTATTGGGTCATCAAAAATCATAATGCACTTTTGCATAAAAAGTAGGAAAATAAGCCACGACTTTCCTGATGACCTAATATATCCTCTATCTTTCTTTATCTGGTTCCACGTTACCCATGTTCTATTAAACAAATCACTTTTAATATGAAAGCTGACACAGGCTATAGAAATATCTTCCAGCCTTCCTCGCAACAGTCATTTCAAGTTTTGTTTTGTTTTGTTTTTCACAAAACAAAGCGTCAGCTATGCATTTCAATTCGTATCATTATTCTTGTTCCTTAGTTTGGCACTAGATCCATGAAATGCTGAAATGTGACTTTCTGTGGATTCCACAATAAAAATGCCTCCCCCAAGGTTTACTGCAACTGTGACGAGAGAAATCTGAATAGATGTGCATGGCTTTAAAAGCAAGAAGGATTGAAAATAGCAGTTTCATTATTTCATTGTTTCTTCTTGTGTTCGTATTAAGTGATTTTGTTTCAAGTCTTTGGACTAGACACGCAATTCGACGTACACAAATTTCCCACCTCTGCTGTCCTACTCTGCAATTCCAGCCCTGAAACTCTCTTGCCTGATCCCTGAAAACAATGGACTTTGTCATTCTGGACTTCTGCTTTCTATGTTTTATGAACCCCTGTTGCTGTCAGACTGAAAAGAGTTACTGGATATGAAGCCCTGTGGCAGCACAGGCCCTTCCACTGCTCAGGTTTTGCGGGGTATGATCTAGGATAATAATCTCTTCATAGCCTCAATGCCACCCGGAAGGATAACTCCTCTTTGTCTTACAGGAAAGCGGGCCTGCCTTGGAGAACAGTTGGCCAGGACTGAGTTGTTTATTTTCTTCACTTCCATTCTGCAGAAGTTCACCTTCAAGCCCCCAAACAATGAGAAGCTGAGCCTGAAATTCAGAACAGGCATTACCCTTGCCCCCGTTAGCCACCGCCTCTGTGCTATTCCTCGGGCCTGATGTTGGGGGAAAAGCAGAGAAGGGAAATCAAGAAGAAATACCATGTTCTCTGAAATCATTTGTACCTGCTAGATGGGAGGGGACAGAATAAAAGTGACTTTGAGGAAAGATCAGAGGGATCAGACACAAAGGACCCTGGATTCAAATTTTGACTTTCCCATGCCCTTTAAAGTAGCTAGTACTATGCAAATAATTCATGGGCTAAATGATTAACCCTTTTCATCTAGGAGTTCGAAGAAGCATAATGATTTCTTCCCTAAAAATGTTCTTCTAAGAATCAGAAGAAACAGTGGATTGTACCTATTTCGTTAACCAGAAAGCACTTACTAAAATGTATGCTGTAACCTGTCTTCTTCCTCCCTTTTTTCTTAGATATATTTATTTGCTCTGGTCTGTTGAGGTAGTTGAGGTCAAAGTGGATCAAAATCATCAATATAAGTTAGAATTTTGATGCTGGGGCAGTCACAGAGGTTGGCCATAAAGGCTTACCCACTTGGTGGCTCTGTCCTTGCTTGCCTTGTGTCTGCCACAGAATGACCCTCTGGGAGGACAGTAGGACAAGTGTTAGTCCCTCTTCACAGGCAGGGAAAGCAAGTGCTGTTGAAGCAATTTCTGACTTACATAAGGAAGCGCTTACCTCGGCCTTGGACCCGAAACCAAGCAGGGTGCAGCCACAACTAACCAAACCTGGGAAGCAGGTTAAGGAACAAATGTGGAAATATTTCCCATCTCTAGGAGAGATGCCTTGCCTCAAATCCTCCATCAGGTATTATTCCTATAATGTTTCCTGTTCAATTTAACTGTGTGGGGGCCAGTAAGTGGCATGGTGGTTAAAGAAGATGGATTCCCACATGTCCAGCCACAGTTCAAGTCCTAAATCTGGAGATTCGCTTTCCCTTTCTCTTTTTCGCTGTCTTGTCAAATTTAAAAATAATAACAACAAATGGAATTAAAGAAATAAATAAATAATTCTTTATAAAAATTTAACTGTGTGGTGATGGTGATTTATTTATTTATTTTGAAATTTTTTTGTTAAAGGTTTGTGCACTCACCAGAGGGAGAGAAAATGAGAAATCCCTCCCAGGGAAATGGCACACCATAATCCCTTCTCTGTTTTCCTCTCAGGATTTTGGGCATGCACTCACAGGTGTCTGGTGTAATTTTCAAGGTGTCGAGGTGGTTAGCCATGTGGGATCTAGCACTTCTACCCTTATGTCACCTGCTGGTCCCTGAAAGTGATCTTTTTATGCAACCTGATAGAAAGCTTTTAGTGGCCAGTAGAAGGGGACATCAAAAGTTTATGGAAAGATTGAATGAAAGTATGAGTTAACTTTAGTACAAAAAATATTGACATCCAGGGAACCAGTTAGCGTAATGGCTATGTCGCTGGACTCCCACGTAGTCGACCGCAGTTCGCATCCCGGACCGGGTGGCTTAAAACTCACGCCAGGCACATGTGCGTGCATGCCCAAGATCCCAAGAGGAGAATGGAGGAGAAGGGATTGTGGCGTGACCATCCCCTCTGGGGGGTGATTTCTCGCTTTCTGTCTCTATGTCTCTATCTGTCTGGCGAGCGCACGCGCCCTATAGCGAAAAAATCTCTCCAAAAAAAGAAAAAAAATATTGACATCCATGCATAATTTTTAATATCTTTTCCACAAACTTTTTGAAGAACCCTTGTATCACCTACCAGAACTAACTAATTCCTGTGGAATATTTTATAGCAGAGACTTGAGTTTCAGAATCCTGCTCATTCCCTCTGGGTTTGGTAGTGAAGGGAGACAAAGACCATAAAATGGAGGGCCAAGTAACACTGGTGGTTCATGGAGTTTTCACTCCAAATCCACTAAATGAACAAACAAGACAGTCATGGTACCTGGACTAAACTGTTACAAATATTTTTCCTACATGATTAGACCTAAGTAATTTAATTACTTAGTTCTTAATATCAACCAGGAAGCCACAGAGCTTTTCAAAATGTCCTGTTGTTTGAGATTCAAAGAAAAGTCAATTTTATCATACTTTGAGTTGAGTTTATTGGAGATGTAGATTAATTTTGCTTTATGAAATTTTGAGATTTCACAGTTATTGTTTCTTTGCATATATGTCTATTCCATTTCCTTTTTTTCTTCTCTGGTTCTAATTACATGTGTTTGTGGGACTTATGGTATCCCAAATTTCTCTGAGGCTCTGTTCATTACTCTCTCTTTTGTTCTCTGTGGGATTGTTTTTGTTTTTGTTTTTGTTTTTGTTTTTGTTTTGTTTTGCAATTGCATCATTTCTATCAATGTATTTTTTAATTTCAAATGTAAAAATTTACTTATTTTTCCCTTTTCCAATTTACATCTTCATTACTCTCTATCTTTTGTTCTCTGTGGAATTTTTTTTTGTTTTTGTTTTTGTTTTTTGTTTTGCAATTGCATCATTTCTATCAATGTATTTTTTAATTTTAAATGTAAAAATTTACTTATTTTTCCCTTTTCCATCTTACATCTCTTAAATCTTTTTCTTGATTTTTAAATTTTAGTTACTGTACTTTTTAGTTACAGAATTCCATTTATTTTTTACTTTTATCTCTCTATTTGATGAGACATTATCTCCATAGCTTCCCTTATTACCTTAACTATGGGTCACAATATCCTATTAGTTTGCAAATCTCAAACTTTTTTCTTGAAAATTGTACATTTTAGATAATATGTTACAGAAATTCTGACTAATGATGTCTTTCCAAGAATTGTTATTGTTATTTGTATTTGTATTGTTTAAGGACTTGGCTACACTGACAAATTTACTAAGGCCTGTTCTCCCCACAGTGTAAAGCCTATGTTGTCTATTGTCTGAAGACACCAACTTGTGGGCATGCACACACTCGGAATAATTGGTTTGAACACGGCTTTCCATCTTTTTTTATGTATTTCTTTCAGCTGTCTTGCCCTCTTGGTATTAGACGCTGTTGTTAGTCTCCACTAACTTCTGACCCATTGCTTTGAATGCATGTTTGTTTGCTTTTTGTTGTTGTTGTTGCTGGAGAGCATGTATACTGACCAAAGAGAGATGACCAGAAAAGGAAAGGAGAAAGCATCCCACACAGAAAATGTTATACCGTAATCCCTTCTCCTCCATCTCTCCTTCCTGTCAGGAATTTGAGCATAGACACACACTTGTAAAGTGTTTTCAAGCCATGGAATATAGGACTTGAACCACCTGGTGCCATGTGGGATCTGGATGCCTTAACCACCAGGTTACAGAGCTGGACCTACTCTACTGTTTTCAACAGTACTCCTAGGACATAAATTGCTTCACATCTGATCCAATTAAATGTAGACCTCTCTCAGAAATAGGCTTTTTGTTCTGCCCTTGAGTTGTGTTCTGGCCCCAGAAAGACTGTTCTTAGCTGTTCCTTTCGGTGAATGAGGCTTGTAAACTTCTGGCTGGCCTATGATTTAGCTTATTGTTCTCCTGAAACTATCAGCCTCCAGTTAATTCCTGTCACCAAAATCTAAATTGTTTGGGGCATGGTGTCTGGTCTTTGTAGCTAATCTCTCCTAGTACAAAACCTTAATCCTAGGACCAAGCTGGGGTGAGGACAATCACATGCAGTATTTCCAGTCTACCAGCCTAAGGTAATGTTTCTTCCCTCTAAGTGGTGCTGGATGGAGAGTATCCTTGAACTTCTCAGCCACTCTGGCCTAGAATAAAGTTTCTGTAGCATGGAGATTTGGTGGTGGGGCATGGGAAATACTGATGTCCTTCCTTTTGCAGGCTTCAAGTAGGAAGTAGGGGAAGAGTTCTGGGCTATACTATGCTTACAGTGGCACTTTTGTCACACAGAGCAAAGTACTGGGGAGAGAGTGGATTATGACTCAAATGTCACAGACTGGTTTTGGCAAAGCACAGTAGATATTTCTTGAATAAAATGTCTTCATTTGTTGTATGCCCTTAGAACAATTTCCAGATGCTTCAGTGGTTGGCATTGTATAAATAATTTCTTACTTATTATGTTTATTTCAGTAGGAAAAGGATCCCTAGAGCTCCCCATACTGCCAGTACCGAAGTCATTTCTCTTCTGCATTGTTTTCAATGCAAAATAATTTTAAAAAGGAAAGAGAGAGCCAGCAAGTGGTATGGTTAAGGCACTGGATCCCACGTGTCTGACTGTGTAGTTCCAGTACTGGCCCTGAGAGCTTTAAACACACTGGTGTGTGTGTGTGTGTGTGTGGGCTCAGTGTGGGCAACCCCCCAGGAAAGTGATTTCTCAATCGCCCTCCCCTTCAGCAAACACTTGCACTTATAGAAAAAGCTAAATAAATTTTTTAAAAGACAAGAAAAAGAAAGAAAGTAAAAATTTTAGGTAACAAACCAAAATGTCCATTGATATCAGAATGGGCTAATAAATTTTAGTGTAGTAAAAGAATGCTACCCAGCTGTTACACTCAATGAGTTAGAACTATATGTATTAATCAGAATTGATCTCAAAATATGTGTTTATCTTTTTCAAAAGGAATTTGGAGAATAATTCTTTAAAAAATAACCTATATGAGTATTAGAATTGTTTGAGATTCAAAAAAAAAAGCTAATCCAACTTATCTATATGGATGCAACAACTTAAGTAAAACAAGAAAATGAGGACTGGAAGGATATTCACCATTTAACTAGTATCTCTCGACTTTGGAAAGAAAGGAACTTCGATTCTCTTTCATTAGATTTTTAAACAAATATTAAGCAGACTACTGAGTACATGAGTGTGTGTATTGAAACTTTAAACCCAAGAGTTTCAAAGATGTGGCAGAGAGAAAGGCTTTCTAAGTAGAAAAATAATCATTCTTAGTCTGACATTTTACAAGACCCTGGAAGATCCCCTGGAATACAGAGGTCCACCATCATCGCGGTTGGTGGGGAGGAGGGTAGGCGGTCAGAGAACCAGGTGTAAAGAGGGCACACGTTCTGGGCGTGGCGCAGCAGACGGGCGGGGGCGTGGCCACGGTGAGGGGAGGAGCCGAGTTGCGATGCTGCCCAGGAGCCCAGTTCCACCGCTGGTACAGGAGGTTACTCACCCGCTCCGACAGCTAAGAGCGAGCGGACATTTGAGACATGCTCCCGGAGGTAGGCTCCCTGCTGACCGCCCTCTGGTCCGTGCTCCATCTCCGGACCCTCCTGCTGGGCGCTGTCGTCTTCCTGTTTTTTGCTGACTTCCTCAAAAGGCGGCACCCTAAGAACTACCCGCCCGGGCCCTGGCCCCTGCCCTTCATTGGCAACCTGTTGCATGTGGACTTTGAGCAGGCGCACCTGAAACTTCAGAAGGTAAGTATGGGCAAACACGCCTTGACCGTGATCTGCAGGACAAGGGACATTACGGGGATGGGAGTCCAAGGATGGATGGCTAACCTGTTTGCCTCCTAACCTGTAAGAACGCTTTGAACTGCGTTTTCAGTGTCAGTCACTGAGCTGACTAGGGGCAGACTGTTACTAGGTGCTGACTTTTTAAGAGCACACGGAGCGTTTCATTTTTTAACTCATTTGATTGCCTGTTATCTTGTTAAACTACTAACATATTGCAACCTCTTATAACACGGTTATGTTGTCCTATTTTATATTGTTAACCTGAAAAATGCTATACTTTCCTTCTCAGAGGCTCCATTCCCTGTGTGTGAGATGGTAATAAATAACTTAAATCCTCATCAATTCTCAGCCCGATTACTCCCACCACACTAAAGAGCCACAGCCTCTAAACTCTTCCTGCAATGCACTTTCACCGAAATAATTATTTTATTTTACTTTTTAATTGCCAGAGGATGTGTGCACTCTCCAAAGAGAAAGGAGTGGGGGTGTGGGGGAGAGAGAGAAAGAGAGAAGGTGGGAGAAAGCATCCCCCAGTGAGGCATGGTCCACAATCTCCTCTCTTTCATTTCTCCTTTGATTGGCATTTTGTACACACAGGGCCAGGGCGGCATGTTTTTCAAACACTGGGGCCAGACAGGTCTTCAACTTTAATTGGTTATTTGGGATCCAGTTCTCTTAATTTGGTTACACGACTGGCCCTAAATAATAATTTTAAAATGGCATTCCTCTCCTTAGATTTCTCAGAGCCTCCCACTGCCTCCCAAACAAAGTTCAGCCTCCTTACATCCTGTCAGGACCTGCTAACTCCACCTCCTTCCACCTCTTCAGAATCTCCCGCCAGGGCTCCTTAACTCTGGCAACTCTGAATTCTTTAACGTGCTCTCAGTATTGAACACTTTGTCATAATTCCTCAGCTGGTTTCACTGCTACCCAGCACAGGTACCTTGATGAGAGACAGCACTCTGACAGGTAGTTGTGAAGATTAACACAGTACGTGGTCAGCATTCCTGAGGCTTAGAGTTGGCGCAAGACCAATGTTAACTCCCGTTTCCCTAATATGCCTGGAGGACCTTACGTACTGGATCATATGAAATCTTTTTTCTACGCAAAAATTTATTGTGACTTTTCCAGTGACTGAATATCAATACATGCCCTTATTATATTCAAGTATGTATGGATAAGGCTTTATCACTCAATGGGAAAAACCCCCAATGAATAACACTAAGTGACATGCTTAGTCACAGAATTTGAAGCTAGACTCAGAGATAGCATGCTTGTCTACATGGTGCCCCACAGTATAATGTACATCCTCTTGTCCATCATGTATTTCTATTATCTATGCCCTCTGTAGGAGGGACACATTCTCTTCTAGTTAAAGAAATTATTTACTTTCGAGGCCATACTTGCTACACCAGAATGACACTAAACATTTCTCAGTCTTCTTTGCGGGGTTTGGTGGGTCAGATGTGCTGTGTTTTCTTTCTTTGTTAGACTAGGATGTTTGAGGTTAGAGACCTTGTTTATATTCCTACATTTGTAACTTCATGCCTTCTTCCAGGAACACATGGAAGATACTCAGTTTTTGTTGGTTAAAAACATGATTAAATATTTTAGAAGGAAATTTCTACATTCTAAAGTGAACTAAATCTGAGTCAAGTAGAGTGGAGGATAAAAGGAAACAGAAACATTCCCATCAGATGCAGGTGTGCAAACACACACATACACACTCCTTTCAATTTGAGCCCTTCAGGCTCCATGTACACACACACACAAATACACACACACACCCTCCATTCCTGAACACATAGATATGTTCATATTCATGTAACGATTTAACTGTTTTACAGTATGTGAAGAAATATGGGAACGTTTTGGGCCTGCAGTTTGGTGACATGCCTTTTGTTGTTGTAAGTGGATTCCCCTTAATCAAAGAAACTCTTATATACATGGAACAAAACTTTATGAACCGTCCTGCAACCCTTATTCGAGAACGTGTCTTTAAGCAGAATGGTAAGATTCTTGAAACCTACAGTGCGTATTTAATATTCTTGTGGTCTCTTAAAAGTGCCTCTTTAACTGTAATTTCTTGAAAGTCTGAGACTCCATCCCCATTAGAAAATTCCTACTATTAAAGGTAGTTGGATGCCCACCTTTCCTCAAAGAAGGCACCCCATCAGAGGACTGGCTGGTTTAACCCTAATAGAGGTTGAGAACTCACATGTCCTCCACAAATTTACTCCATTTGCTTTGAATGTAAGGTAACCACATCACCCAACTGCTGCCCGGGAAGACATAATGTGTTCTCTTTCTGCTCCCCCATTCCAGACTTCTTACTCAGGAAGATAATGTAGATCTTCCTTCTGCTACTGAGGCTTCTCGCCTATAGTTACATAGGCTTTGTCAGAAAGGCTATGATCCACTGGTTGTTGCAAGCTTTCAAGTCTATATTAGAACAGGTCGGCATGTGTATTTAAGATTATCATCAAATCAACCTAAAATTTTAACTTGAAGTACAAATCTCAAATCTGTTACTCTATCAAGGCACCCCTTTTTAGGTACTTTAGAATTACTATTCCAATATCTCATCAATTAGTTCTATATCCTCTTCCTGTATTGTCTGCCATGTGAAGCAAGGTCTAGCCACGTGTGATGTAACAGTGAGTACCATAAGTAAAATCCATTTCTTTGTGTAACTTATATCCTTCTGAGATAAGGACAGTATCAAGCAACTATTTACTTAAAAGCCTGTTGTGTTATGAAGATAAATACGAGGTGTACTTATTAGGGGTATGCAGTGTAGTCCTGGGACAGTAAAAGGTAATGTCTAATAAGTAAATGACAATTTAGTAAAACGAAGAAATAATCGCACAGAGGGAATCACTTATGAAAAATCTCTGACACAAGAAGGACAATGAATTCAAGGAATTAAAAGGGACTAGTGTAATAAGTACAGAAATGGAATGGACATAATTAAATGAAGATAAAGCTGCTTAGCTTCACCAGGAATAGTTCACAAATGTTCTTGTTAAAGCTCTTAGTTTTTATCCTAATAGCAAAGGAAGCTCTTGAATGGTTTTAAGTAGAGAAGGAAATTACTATATTTACACTGTACATTTTTAAGACTTATTTAGCCTGCCCTGAAGAGAATGGAATAAAGTGAACAAGAGACTTTTTAGCATTTTATATTAGATAAGGTCATAACTTGGTCTAGGTAGTTGGCAGACGATAGTAGGTTGCACCAGAATGGTGGTAGGGAAGATGCATGGATTCATGATAGTTAGAAAGTAAACTTATCAAGACTAGATGACCTCGGTATACGGAGAATGATGTGTTGAGGTGACACCTATATGGGTAGGTGTTGGAAGGGAGAAGCACTTAGAGGAGAACAAGATTTTGGGTCAGTTTGGCCTGGGTGGGTTTTGTATAGAGAAAATCCGGCATTCAATCACAGACAGATACAGTGAGGATGAAAACCCTTTATGTTGGCAAAGTCATTGCTAGTTATTGTATAAATGAATTTAGAGTCAAGGCCAAAACCAAGTGGTCACAATAAAGAAATATTACATAAAATGTTAGGAAATAGTAAGATTCTCCAGAAATGAAGTAGAGAATTAGAAGAGAAAAGGCTTTAGGTCTAATCTTGAAGAACTCCACCATTTCAAGATTCGATAGATGATGCACCAGCAAAAGTTGTGGGAAATTGATGGGAGCTAATTAAGAAGAAGATTTGGAGAGTGTGGTATCCTGAGTACCACTAGAAGGAAAGAAAGCATCTAATACTGCTGGAAGATCAACTAAGATGAAGTTGAAAAGTTTCTCTGAATCTGCAAATAAGGAGGGCTACTGCAGTGGATGGTGGAAGCTTAATCTTTATATTCATAAAAGTTGAAGAGTTTTCTGTAAGTAAGAGATGAAAAAGGACATGACATTATCTGGCACGAAATATATGATGGTGATTGAGCTTGCCAAGATTCTTTTATTTTTATCTACATTCTTTCTGTATGAAATACTCTTCCTTTCTTTCGCTTTCATTTTCTTTTTTTATAGCCAAGGATGCTTGTGTTTTCCAAAGAGAGAAGAAGAAAAAGCATGCTCCCTAATCAGGCAAGCTGTTCTTGCTGTATAAAATACTCACTCCTTTCTTTTTTTTCTTTCTTTTGTTCATTTTTCATTGTTGTTATTGCTGTTTGTTTGTTTGTTTGTTTGTTTTTAGCCAAGGATGTGGATGTGTGTGTTTTCCAGAGAATGGGAGAGACAGCACACACCCTCTCTCCCACCCCCCATGGGGCATGATCACACTGCAATTCCTTTTTGTCCATTTTCCCATCTCATGAGGATTTGGGGCATAAATGAACATGCATCCATGTAGTTTGGAAGTGCTAAGGGACAATATTGTAACCATGGTTAGCTATTTGGGATCCAACTCCTTATGCACAGTTTTTAACTACTCTGCTGTAAGACTACCCCCCCTCCTCATTTCTTTTTTGAGTCAATCCATCATCATTTTAAAAAATTATTTATTTAACTTTATTTATTCATTCTTTCATTCATTTTTAATTTGACCAGAGAGATACAGAGAGAGAGAGAGAAGGTGAGAAAGCAAGCTACCAGGTCCAGGACTTGAACCGTGGTCAGCCATGTGGGAGCGTCCAGTGCCTTAACCACCATGCCAACCGCTGGTCCCGTTCATCATCTTTTAAAGTCCAGTTTAAATAGGACCACTGCCATGAAGCCTTTCTTTGCCTACTTAAGAGTATGGATTCTGTCTCATCCATGAGTGTTTTCCTAGTATTTAGTATAACTCAAGTACCTGACTATATGTACATAAAGTAATAATGAAGCTTGAGTTTTGGAATAAGACAAACCTGAATGTGGATGCCTGGTTAGCTGCTTACCGTGTGACCCTTGGAGGTTTACTTTATGCATTGTCTTCTATATCTGAGTTTTCTTATAAGAAAAATAGTGAAGAGGTGATAATAATAGTACCTGCCCCAATGAGTTTCTGTGAGTACTAAGTTACATAATACATAATGCATAAAAAATTACCTACTGAAGTGACTGACACTGAAACAGTCAGTAAGCACTAGCCATTATATCCTTTGTTTTTGGATTATATACCCGAGCAGTGTTCAAGTGTCTCAGTGCCTTTCTCCTTTCTCTCTGATGCACATCCCCAGAGCATTTGCTGGATATTCACATTACAGAATCAGAATGTCACAATGTTGGTTGTCTTTTCCCCAGGACTGATCATGTCCAATGGCCAGATATGGAAGGAACAAAGAAGGTTCACCCTGATGACACTCAGGAACTTTGGTTTAGGAAAGAAGAGCCTAGAGGAGCGCATTCAGGAGGAGGCCCACTACCTCGCTGAGGCAATGAAAGAAGAGAATGGTGAGTATTTTATAGAATAGCACATGAGACTGTGACCTATTCATTCATTGAACAGATACTTATTAAGAGCCTAAGTGCTTGTCTTGTGCCCATCCCTGGGAAGGCACTAGATCAGTGAGCAACTAAACATGACCCTCCCCTCAAGGGTAGAGCAGTGAGCAACTAAACATGACTCTCCCCTTAAAAAGTTCTCTAATTAAGCACACAATGGTGGACAGTAAACATATTGCTGAAGCTACGTTGGATCAATCAGTTTAACTTCCCTGGCATTGACTGAGGACTTGCTGTATTTCAGGGCCTATGGATGGTGCTGTAACCAGAGCCTCATATATGGTTCTGTATAGGGATGTCTTATGTCAGATAGAGTAGAAACAACTATTAAATAGAAACAAACCAACTCAAAGGATTCGTCTTCTCTTTCTTCCAATTCCAGGACAACCCTTTGACCCTCATTTCAAGATCAACAATGCAGTTTCCAATATAATTTGCTCCATCATTTTTGGAGAGCGCTTTGAGTACCAGGATAGTCAGTTTCAGGAGATGCTGAAGTTACTGGATGAAGCCACACGTCTGGAGGCTTCATTTCTGTGCCAGGTAAGGTGTCTCTCTTCCATATCTTTATTAAGAATACTGTGACCACTGTCAGCCTAAAATGTCAACTTTTTCTTTTATTGTTTTTGTCAAATTACACTTATGCTACAGATTTTTTAAAAATTTTGCTAGAATGTATGTGCTCTCAGAGAGAAAGAAATAGAGAGGGAAAATGAGAAAATACCCCATGTAGGGAGTGGCCACACTGCAATCCCTTCTTTTCCATTCTCTTTTTGGGTTATGGAGTACATAGGCACACATGCCTGTGTGGTCTTCAAGCCACCAGGTTTAAGATTCAAACCATGCAGTCACACAGGTAGGATCCAGCTGCCTTAATCACCATGTCACCAGCTGGCCCAATGCTACAACTTTTTACATGTTCATTTTGTATACTCCAATTTGCTGGATTTGTTCATTACCTGTAAAGTGTTTTCTAGTGGATTCTTTAGGTTTCTCTCTGCATAATATCATGTAATTTGCAAATAGGTACAGTTTAACTTCTCCTTTCCATTTTGGATGTTTCTTATCATTTCCTTGTCTGATTGTATTAGCCAAAACTTTAGTACTGTGTTTAATAGGAGTGAAGAAAGTGGACATCATTTTGTTGTTTCAGTTTTTTTAAAGAATTATTTATTTAATTTCATTTATTCATTCATTCATTCATTTTATTTTATTTTATTTTAATTTGACCAGAGTGAGACACAGAGAAAGAGAGAGAAAGTGAGAAAGCAAGCCATCAGGTCTGGGACTTGAACCATGGTTGGCTATGTGGGAGTGTCCAGTGCCTTAACCACCACGCCACCTGCTGGTCCCCTGTTGTTTCAGTTTTGAGAGGGAAAGTTTTCAAGTTTTTTCCTTTGAGTATAAAGTTGACGGTGGAATATATAGGACTTTATTATGTTAAAAATATCCCTTATTTACCTATTTTGCGCAGGGTCTTAATCATTCAGTGATATTGAATTTCATAAAATGCTTTTAATTTCATATGATCATGTGATTTGTGATTTTTATTTTTCCTTCTGTTAATGTGATGTATTAATTATTTTTGAGTAAGTTGAACCATCCCCAGGATAAATCCTACTTTCTCATAGAGTATAATCTTTTTAGTGTCTTTAGATTGTGTTTTTCAGTATATTATTAAAGGTTTTTACATCTGTATTTATCATAGCTATTGGTCTGTAGTATTATTTTTTATTAGTGTCTTTCCTTGTTTGCTTTTAATATCATGGTGATGGAGGCTTCATACAATGAGTTTGGGAAGGATACCCCATTTGGATCTTTTGAAATTGAAGACAAATGGTGTTTATTTTTTAAAAGACTTGTAGATTTCAATAGGGAAGACTTCTGGATCTGGGCTTTTCTTTGTTCTGAGATTATTTATTACTGATTAAATCTTATTATTTGTTTCTGGATTTTTTTTTTTTGAGAGATTTTTGCTATACGGCACGTACACTTGCCAGAAAGGCAGAGAGAGACAGAGAGACAGAAAGTGAAAAATCACCCCCCCAGGGGGGATGGCCATGCCGCAATCCCACCTCCTCCATTCTCCTCCTGGGATCTTGGGCACGCATGCACATGTGCCTGGCGTGAGTTTAAGTCCCCGGGTCCAAGACTCGAACTGCGGTTGGCTACATGGGAGTTCAGTGACATAGCCATTAAACTAACTGCCAGTCCCTCTGTATCTTCTTGATTCAATCTAGGTATGCTGTGTTTTCAGAAATCTATTCATCTCGTCTAGGCTTTTTAGCTTTTTAGAGTGTATTTGCTCTTAGTAATCTCTAAAGATATTTCAAATTTCTGTGATATTAATTGTAATTCTCCGCATTTCTGATTTATTAGCCTAAGTCTTACCCTCTTTTTATTAGGTAATCTATTTAATTAGATTTATTAATTCTAATAAATCAATTCTGTTTATCTAGGTGAAATAGAAATTGTGCACAGGTGTTTTGTCTGTTTAGGAGGTAGGTTCCATTAAACTTATGGCATTAGCTGCCCAGTAATGTATTTCTGTGTTCTTAGACCCTGTATGGGGAGGAAAGTCCTCTAATGGGGAAGGTCACCGAGTGAAATATCAGCTAAAAATAAGTAATGACCTCTGGCTTGGATGAGTTGCACCAGAGTGGATGTAGATGTTACTTGAAGTTGTGATACAGAAGGTGGTTAGTTGTTTAGTTATCCAGTTGTATGCAGTCCCTGAAGACAGAGGAAGCTGATTTTTGCAGAGCCTGATCCCCTCAGCTACAGCATCCCTCTGCAGGTAGTTGAGTGTACGCAGGCATGGCAAGCACTGTTGTTGGTATAGGAGAAGACCGGGCATGCCTTCTCTCAAGGCTGCAAGGTTGGTTTGGAAGTGTGTATCACCTCTGTGCAGCTGGAGGCTTGGGCTGGGGCTGAAGCAAGTCTCTGTCCCTGGGTCTAGTGGGGTTTCTCTGGGCCCCAGGACTAGGCTGTTAATCAGTGCAGGACCTGCAGAAACTATGGACTTCCAATGGGTGGGACTGGAAGCTGCAGGCCTGAGGGTGTTTTTGCTGATTGGGTGCCAGGGCTGTACGTTGGGTATGTCTACAGAGCCAAGAAGTAGGACTAAGGCTTGAGTCTGCCTGAACTTGCACCTGCACAACCTTTGGTAGTGCAGGATATATGGTCTCTTAGCTTGTTTATGTCTGTGTGAATGGAGGGAGAGGCTGCATCCTGCCCATCTGGAGCCCTATGAGAGCTACTTGTGCTAGTCTGTGTGACTGAGCACCTGGAACTCTACAGGGTGGAGTGAGGCCCAATCATTTCACCACCCTGATGTATAAGAAATCCCTGGCATCTTCCTGTTTGTTAGTTGCTCCTCCCCATTCCTCAGCTCACATTATTCCAGGAAGTATGAAGAAGTTGCTCTATCAAAGGAAAGAAAAGAGACAGGGTGCTGCTTGTTGTGTAAGCAGGAAGAGTGGGAGTGTACTCTTGTGAGTCAATCAGGGAAATTGTCCTGATTTGGCTTCTGAGGTAGTGCTATGACAGGAGTTTGACAGGGCTCGGGGGAGTTCAGCACTATCCCTGAACTGGCAGACCCTTGAAGCTCTCCAAGATGAGCTTGTGGTCTGCTTCCCTGCTGGTGCTCTGCTGCAGCTAGTAAGCTCTGTGGTTTGAGGTGAAGCAGGGAACTGAAAGCTAGAAGGGGTGGGGAGTCCTGCTCTTTTACACTGTGTCCCAGGAGAATTCATCATCTCTGGTTTCTTTCTGAAGTTTTTAATTTTTGTTATATGGTACATGTGCTCACTGGAGACAGAGACAGAAAGAGAGAGAAAATAAGAAAGCACCCCCAAAGGGGGTTGATCATGCTACAACACTTGCTCCTCTATTATCCTCTCTGGATTTTGGGTACACGGGCATGCGCCCTCCATAATTTTCAAGCCTCTGTATCTAGCACTTGAACTGCATGGTCAGTCTTGTGGGATCCATCCCTTTAACCTCCACGCCATCTGCTGCCCTCCCATCCACTTTTACCTAATGGTTAGAAAAATTACTCATAATCATTATCTAGATCCATTATTTCTTTGGAAATGTAAATTGCTGATATTTTTATTCTTTTTTCTTATTTTCAATTGACTATTGGTTACTGATTTTGTGTTAATCAACTTTGGTAAACCCTTATCAATATTATAATTAATCTGTGGATTTCATAGACAATCATTTCAAAGACAAATAATTATAGCTTTTATTTTTCCTTTCTAATACTCAACATAAATGTCCTTTTCTTGCTTTATTGTACAGATTAGAGTCTCCACTGTAGTTCTATTTCTTGCTAAATATATTTCTGTCAATTTTTAATTTATCTACTTTACAGCTATACTGTTAGAAACATAAAACTTTAAATTGTTCTTTCCTTCTTTCTCTTGGCTCCACTTGAGACCTCACTGTCTTCATGGATGATCAGTTCCCCTATCATGTTTCCAGAAGTGTATTTCTTTCTACTTATTACTGACATGCATCTTTTCCTGGAATGCTATGGACCCATTACACAAGCCTGATGAATTACTTCACATGCTTTCTGGTACCTAAAATGGCATGATGCATGTGAGTGCTTATTATTTTTATCAAGTTATTTTACATTCTTTGTTTTACTCCTAGTATGACAGTCCCCAGGTTAGCAGTTCCATTTGCTGGAACTGCTATCAAGACAGAGTCTGGAAGATGTGAGAGTTCAGTGGGTGCCTGGATGACTTCTAGGTACATGTCTCAGGAAGAAGAAACTCCTGGGAAGGAATGAAGGAATGGTAGGGTAGGAGTAATAACTATTTCTAGGTATCCCGAAATATGCCAGGCTATTATGGAAACTGCACTCACTCTGTCTCCATTAATTTTCACCATAGCCCTATAAAGATGACATGAAGCAAGAGTGTGAGAGCTGGTGTGGGAGTGTGCAAGGAAATACAGATGGGGCCCATCGCCTCTTTGTTTAGGGCTCTATGTACAATCCCCAGAATCACTCTCAGTTGTTAGTGGCTTCCAGCGGAAGCCACTTAAACTAAATATCAACACACTACATTACTATTATTACTAGTAGCAAACTATTAAGATAGAAAGCAGCAGAGCCAATAGTAACACTCGTGCATGTCTCATTTGACATCAGGCAGTTTTTAATTATTCTATCCTATCTGTTTTATACTTGATACTAGGAAAAAAAAATGTATGTAAAACCCACTTTATTTTAGTAAACAGTGTGAAGTCTTATGCACATGGAAATTACATTTTAGTAGGGAAAACAGATATACAGAAAAAAAAACACACATGCAGACATTAGTGATAATCATCATGAAGGAAAACAAGATAGGACAGGGATCTAGACGGAGGGTGACAGGAGTGTTCACACTAGTAAGATCATCAGGTAAGACCCAAAAAAGTAGCACTGGAGCAGTGCCTCAATAGGATGAGAGGCAGTAGTTATTAGTTTCAGAGGAAGAGCTTTCCTCTGGGAATAGCAACAGTTGTGGCTTAAAATAGGAATGTCCTTGGTGTGATCACAGAGGCCATTATGGATGGACCAAGGGCAATAAGGGTAAGATGGCAGGGAGCAATGGGAGAGAGGAGATATACAGGGACCAGTTCTGCAGGGCTTATGTACCCAAGGAATGGTGGATAACTTTATCTGAGTGCTATGGAAAGCCATTAGAAGATTGAGAACGAAGGAGTGAAATGATGTCGCTTAACTATTTAAGGATTTCACTGACAAATCTGTGCCACATAAGCTCTGAGTAGGGTTAAGAATGGAATCGAGAAAAATTAAAACTATTACAACTTCCTTGTAAGAAATGGTAGCGATTTCTACTAGGGCAATTAGCAGTTGGGTTGGGGAGACTGGTCTAAGCATGGTATAGAGACCTGTAATGCTTTGTTGGAGAACTGAAAGGGTAAGAAATAAAAGAGAAGTACAAGGTTTAAGCAAATAAAATGATGGAAAAAGAAGATTGTTTCTGTTGTCTTCAAAGAGGAAAAGCATCATCATGTGGACTCCATGATTGTTTTGTTTTTCCTACTTAGTTCTACAATATCTTCCCACGAATAATGAACATCCTTCCTGGACCCCACCAAACTCTCTTCAGAAACTGGGAAAAACTGAAATTATTCATTGCAAAAGTGATAGAAAAACATAAAGAAGACTGGAATCCTGAGGAAACAAGAGACTTTATTGATGCTTACCTCAAGGAAATGGCAAAGGTGAGGAAAACAAAGTTGTTTCTTGTGTTTTGTTATGAAAGGGCAAGTCAGGGTATATTAATGTCCATTTGATGTTGTAATAAATCAGCACAAACTTCTCACTTAAAATAGCAAAAATACATTTCTTAAAGTTGTGGATGTCAGAAATCTGAAGTCAGTTTTACTGGGCTGAGTCAGGGTTTTGGTCTGGCTTGCTCCTATAGGAAGCTCTAAATGAGAATCTATTTCAGAGACGTTTCCTTCTTCTAGAAGCTTTTGATATCCCTTGCTTTGAGCTCCCTTGCTTCAAGTCTGATGTTCGCAATGGAGTGTCTTCTCTACTCTCTGATTTCTGCTTCCATCCTCATATCTTCTCCCTCTGACTTTGACTCTAAATCCTCCCTTCTATCAAGACATTTTTCATTACCCTTGGCCCACTGAAAGGATCCAGGATAATCTTCGCATCACAAATTCCTTCACTACATCACATCTGTAAGGTCCATTCTGGTAACAAACAGTATGGACATTTGTTGAATATTTTTCCTATTCTGTCTCATGTAATTTATCGTGTTATCCTAGTGGATGCATATTGTTGCTTCCATTTATAAAACAAAAAAAAAATAACCCCTGAAGCACAGAGAGGTAAAATAGCTTGTCCTAGATGATATAGCTACTGTGTGATAGGGCTGACAGTAGGAGCCAAGTCAGTGTGTTCACCTCTCTTTCTTCTTCTATTAATATACAATAACTTATTTCTACTTACTGGAATAAGGAAACAGTTGTCTTGATTTTCATACACTCAAGTGCTGAAAGATTTTTTTTTTTGATTCTAAAACTTGGAACTGGACGATACTAATGATACTGCTCGTAATAAGGCTCTATCTCCTGAGGGGTCCAAAGGAAAGTCATTATTCTTGGAGACCTCTCTTCCAAATCTCTTCTGTAGGATAAAGCCCCTGTGTGTTGTGGTAACTATGAATCTACTGAATAAACCAATAAGCACTGTCCTTTCTGACACAAGGGCAATGCATCTTCAAGTTTTGATGAAGAGAACCTCATCTGCACCACCCTGGACCTATTTTTGGCTGGAACTGAGACAACTTCTACAACATTGCGCTGGGGTCTGCTTTATTTGGCCCTCAACCCAGAAATCCAAGGTGAGCATGTCCATGAGAGTGTCTTGGAACCAGGTAGAATAATCCCTCCTGAACACACCACCCAAAGTTGGGGCCAGAAGGGAGCCATGGAAAGGAAATGTCAGTAGAGCCGACATTAGATGATGTGGTCTTGGGAACTGCATGTTCATATTTTCTGTCACAGCTGTGATGAGCCCAAGTAATAGAAATTCGCAGAAAGTTTTTATCCCCAAGAATATCAGAGTTGGGAGAAAACAGAGAAGTCAATTGACAATGCAATGTTCCAGGAAAGAATTACCTTTCACAGGAAAATATGATTGAGCTCTTCCCTCCTTTTAAACAGTGCCACCCCTCTTTTCCCTTGAAAATGGGAAGAACGTAGGAAAGGAAATTTGGGAGGGAGGAAATGGAGAGGTGGGTATTTGTAGGACACAGATGTGGTTTATTACTTGTTGATGAGGACATGCAAATGTTCTCAACTGGGCTGGACTGAGGTGTGTGTCAAGGTGAGTAAAGTCTCTTTACAATCTAAATTATGTATATCAATTAAATGCATAAATAATAATTTTTAAAAATTATTTAAAAATGAATGACTAAATTAAATAAATAAAAATAAATATGAGAACTTATTTAAAAAAAAGGAAAATGTGCAAATTCCTTCATCTGGCTTATAGTACTCTCTGCTATGCCCCTCTCTGCCTGCTAGCCTGAACCCCACCCATGCTGCTTGATATCCCCACTAAATTATATGCCTTTTCTTACACTGTCCTTATTTTATTTATGTCTCTATGTCATGGCATCTGCCTTTCCCTCTACCAAGAAAGTTCTTCCCCTCTAGGTCTCTTTGAAGAATTTGCTCAAGCTTGTCTTCCTCAGATGTTTCTCTACTCCTGTGGGAGAGTCTGAGCTAGGAAATCCTTAGCATTTTCTTAATCCCGAAATGGCCTAATGTGCCTTCATTACTCTGCTTAATTCACTTTATGTGTACCCTCCAGACATGCCCTAGTTCATGTAAGAACAATGACTGTGTTCATCCCTTTTTTTCTTCTTCATTCTAGAACAGTTTGAGCACTTGGGGAATGGAAATTGTAGAACAGATTTTCAAACTGTGGGTATAAATTTATTAATGGGACATGAATTCAATATAGTGGATTGAGACTAACTTTTTTTTCTCTCCTATGATGGAAGTAGAATAAAAAAATATTGCAATACTTCTTAATGTATTAAGGATAAGTTTTGTTCAACAAACTTTAATTCTTTCATACACAAGTGTATAAACATATATTTTATATGTATGCAGATTGGTTTTACAACAATGTGAATTAACTCTACTGAATTGTGCACTTAAAAATAACTAAAACGGGGGAGCAGCAGTTAGCATAATGGCTATGTCGCTGGACTCCCATGAAGTCGACCCCAGTTCAAGTCCCAGACCCGGTGGCTTAAAACTCACACCAGGCATGTGTGCGTGCGTGTCCAAGAGGAGATCCCGAGAGGAGAATGGAGGAGAAGGGATTACGGCATGGCCATCCCCCCTGTGGGGGGTGATTTCTCACTTTCTGTCTCTCTGTCTCTCTCTGTCTGTCTGGCGAGCACACACATCCTATGGCAAAAACCTCTTCAAAAAAAAATTAAAATGGTAAATTTTATGTTATGTGTATTTTCCTAATTAACTGTTTTTTAACTAGACAGTTTAAAATTGGTAGAAGATCATTTCTCTTACAGATTCAAAAAAAGTGTAAGCTGGACTTGGCACAAACCATTATGATTCCAGCTCCTACTAATTTGTTTCTTTATTGTGTCTATCGAGATATCTTCCTTGACACTCTCTGAGATAGCACACCACTGGGACTGCTATTTCTCCAAAGAAAGGGAAAAGTAGGAAGGAGACACTTTCCCTTCCTTAAGCACTAGTTTCAAAGTTAAATATTATATTTATTTATATTCTATTCATCAGAACTTAGTCACATAGTCACAATTATACAGAAGTAAAATCTGGAAAATGTAATCTGTTTCTGCACAACAAATTATTCAGCTAAAATGTCTATTTCTCTAGAAAAGGAAGAAAATAAATAATAGGGGACAACCAGCATTTTTAATCATGTCTTGGGTGCTTACTTGAACCAATTCATGTAAATCTCAAAGTATCCTAAAGATCAGAGTATATGAGCCAGTAGGTGTTGTAGTGGTTAAGGCGCTGGACACCCACAGGACTGACTGTGCCCCAGGTCCTGGACCAGATAGCTTGAAACTCACACCAGGCTTGTGTGCTTGCATGCCCTAAATCCCAAGAGGAGAATGGAGGAGAGGCGATGGTGGTGTGTCCATCCCCCATAGGGGGCGATTTCTCACTTTCTCTCTCTCTTTCTGTGTGTGTGTCTCTGGCAGCCACGCTTGCACTATAGCAAAAATATCTCTTAAAAAAGATGAAGGTATATTTATCTCCACTAATTAGATAAGGAAACTGAGGCTCTAAGAGTTTAAGGAGTTTGCAGCAGTTATATTGTGGAATAAGAATTTGCCACCATATTGTTCGTATACCAGCACCCATCATTCACACTCATGTATCACCTTGAGAGATTGGAGTCTACAAATCTGGTGCAGTCTGAATATTTATATCCCTCCTCAAATTATTGTGTTGAATCCTAAGTACCAGTGTGATGTTATTAGAGGTGTGACCTTTGGTTAATGATTAGTTCTCATGACTGGGTGTAGTGCCCTTATAAGAGACACAGAGCTGCTTTATCCCACCTTTGAAAACACAGTGATAAGTTGCCATCTATGAACCAGAGGTAAGTTTTCACCAGACACTGAATCCCTGGCCTTGCTCTTCCCAGGCTCCAGCACTGTGACATTTAAATGTCTTTTGTTTTTAAGCTCCCCAGTTTATATTTTACTATAGCATCCTGAATAGAACAAGACAAGCTCACACTGTGAGCTTAGCCATGTTGATCTGTTTATTCCATTTCTTAATTTAACCAGGCTCACGGAACATTATGAAGCTGGCAGTATGCTAAGCAAGGCATTTGAAGGGTTAAGAACTAGTTTGGTTCTTTGCATCTTGGTCATGAATTGAAATATAAAAGGTGAAATCTGAGCGATAACTCTTACATATTTAGGAAAAAAGCATTCAAGTTTAAAGAATAGTAGAACCTCTTCTTTTCCAGAAAAAGTGCATGCTGAGATTGATAGAGTGATTGGCCAGTGTCAGCAGCCAAGCATGGCCGTCCGAGAGTCCATGCCCTACACCAACGCCTTCATCCATGAGGTGCAGAGGATGGGCAACATCATCCCCCTGAATGTTCCCAGGGAAGTTACAGTTGATACCACTTTGGCTGGATACCACCTGCCCAAGGTAATTAGGCACCCCCGCTTCAGATCTCCAAGCCCATCTTTCAGATGGCAGAAAGTCAAACTTGAAAAATGCCATATGTTTTTGTCTCAAAGAATCATTTAAATGGGGAGAGTTAAGCAGTGCTTGATGTATATCATTTTATCTTCATGCATGATCTTTAGAACATTAGTTTCACTACATATCAATATGAAGTGTAGGAAGTAAATAAGAGTCTGTGATCAAATATGTTTGGGCAGAGACTGACTAGCCTTTGCTATGAGATCCTCAGCATTTGTACTATGATGAGGAGCATTGTGAATCTCTGTGGGCATACAGCAGGCAGCAGTTCTCAAACTCTGGCACAAAACCCATTTCTTAGTGCCATAGAGGATTTCCCTGAACTAGGGAACTGCCAGAGTGACTTTGGGAGATTTTGCTTCACAATCCTGAAATTATAAAATGTAAAAACTTATGAAATATTCTAGGATGGTGAACATCAGCTTGGTGATAATATGGAAAGACATTCTCATCAAGGTGAATAACATTTACAGTGTTGAGATGAGTGGACACATAGCATGACTGGAAACTGAAAGCTGGTCACTGTATCAGGAGTGCAGAAGGAGGCAGAGCCACAGCCCAGGCTATGGTCTTACTCTCAGAGGGTTGGGAAGCTATTGAAGGGTGTGGAGTCGGAGGTGTGAGCAGGTGGGGATATGGTGTGAGTAAATCAGGTTGAAAGCACACTCTGTTTATAGGATGTGAATCAGATTGAAAGGGGCAAGAGAGGACATCATACGTAGTAAGGAGGCTATTACAGGAGTCTTGGCAGGCAAGGTTGCATCCTGGTTGAGGTGATGAACACTGAATCGTTGAGGGCAAAGGGAATTTTATTATAAAATTGTTCAATCTTGCTCTGTGTCCAATGATGTTAGAGTAAGAGAAAGGCTCACCCTGGGAGATTCCTTTGCCTCTTGGTAGGTACCTGAATGGATGGGGGTTCCTTTCCATGAGTTATCTGATTCTCTTATTAAATCGACTATCAACTGTAGAAAGAGGGTGCAATATATCAATAGATATTGGAGGAAAGAAAATGGGAAAAACAGATGAATGAGACACTTACCTTGGAATAGATGCCATAGTTATAGCTTCAGTAAGCAGCTGGGTTGATTTTGGTGTAGCACAAACTGACTGTCACATGACTACTGCATGGATGTATACGTGTCCTCTCCAAAGTCTGTACCTGGAGAACATCCATTTTGCTGACAACAACTGAAAAAATTTCCAGAAGGCAAGTCCAACCCATCATTGTCAGTTGTTCCATTGCACAAAGGAGGTTCCTGTCAGATAGAACCAGGAGAGGGTGCTTTGGTCAAGATGGGGGAGCTCAAAGTGCGGCAGCCTGAGGACACTAGCCACCTGTCGTGTGGGACAAACCTTGTCTCAGTGTTTTCTGTCTTCTTTAGGGAACTGTGATCATGACGAATTTGACTGCACTGCACAGGGACCCCACCGAATGGGCCACCCCTAACACCTTCAATCCAGAGCATTTTTTGGAGAATGGACAGTTTAAAAAAAGGGAAACCTTTCTGCCTTTCTCAGTAGGTAAGTTGTAATAAAGAGGAGTGTGAGGGTCCAAGGCCCTCCCTTATCCTGTTCCCTATGGCCCCTTCTGTGGTGGGGATATCTCCAAATACCCCATCCAGTATAACTCCATCCTGCTGTTGCTGCTGCCCTGATTCCTGGGCTGGACGTAACTTCAGACCTCCTTTATATTCTAAGCACTCCCTGGACTCAGATGGAAATTTCAGCTTCTTTCTTCTGTCTTCCAGAATACTGGAAACAGAGATCCAGATACCACTTCTTACCCATAAAGACTAGACACCTTGCATCTTTACAAAATTTCTAAATGTCCTCAGTTCTTTTTAATGGAGGCCTATCAAACAGAAATAGGATTTATTTATAATAAGGAGATGGGGGACAGCAAGAGAAAGGGGCTGCTGACCATGTGGGCATCAAGCCATGACTCTGAAGGCCACTGGCTCTACTAGATTGTGTCCTACTCTATAAGAGTGCTGTGGCCCTGCAGAAGTGCTGTGGCCTTTTAAAATTATTTTTTAATTGAGTTAGTATATTTATGTGGTACACAACTTGAATGGAAGGGAAGAATGAAACCCTCTCTTACATATTTTCAAGCCAACCACTTAGTATTTTTAACTCCAAACATTACAAAATCAATAATGAAAATCTTAGTATATTCCCAGATATTGAGTCAGATATGTTACATACATTATTTCCAATCGTTCCCCAAATCCTTAATTCCAAAAATATTGACTTAGATCTATGATGTGCCAAGCATTCAGTCCTGAAAACATGACAATGAAGGAAGCAGAGAATGAAATATAACAGAACTGTCTTCATGGAACAAGCGTGTGTACTAGTGCACATGTTACAAGGTCCACATTACTGTCAGTTTAGAAATAAGGAATCTGAGGTCTAACCAAGTCTGGAAACTAACATCATAAAACTCCAGTGTCAAAATAGGGACTCAGTCCTGACTAGATTTATTCAACACCGAGGCTTGAATTTTTTCTCATACTATCTCCTGAAAATTACTAAATGCTGCATAGAACCCACACTGTGGATGTATGCTAGTGTGTCTATCATTTCCTTAAAATACTCCTCAATTTCCAGAGACCATATCATTTTGCTAATACTGATCTTAAACCTCAGAAAGGGAGGAACTGGAATTTGCCTCATGTCTGTGTGACTCCAAAGTCCATGCTTTCTTCATCTGGTTCCATGTTACTGCTACTCTACTGAACAAATCACTTCTAAATGAAAACTGATATATCTGAAATATCTTTCAGTCCTCCTTTCTACAGTCATTTCAAGTTCTATTTCACAGAACAAACTGTCAGCTCTGTATTTTAATTCTCATCTTTATTCTTGTTCTTTGGTTTGGCACCAGATCCATGAAATGCTGAAATGCTCGAAATGTGACCTTCTAAGGATTGCACAATAAAATATCTCTCCTAAGGTTTACTGCAGCTGTGGTGAGAGGATCGTAATAGATATTCCTTGCTTTGAAAGCAAGAGTGAATGAAATAACACAGATTTTTATCGTTTCATGTTTGTTGTTATTTTTTGAGTGTTTTTTTAATTTAAATGTATTTATTTACATTCATTCACTATACATCATTACAGCATACAAAATGAGATTTTTCCATCCAGAATACACTGTATATTGGCTTAATCAAGCACATCAACACACGTGTTATCATCAACAAATAATTTTCCTTTTCTTGTTTCCTGTATATTTTGCTTTTTTTCCCATCCTCGATTCCCTGTCTCTCACCTTCTGTCATCTCCCACCTTCAATTTTGAAACATTTTGGACACTCACTTTGCAGGTACACAAGTTTCTCACCTTTATTGTCCTACATTCTGCAATTCCGGCCCTGAAACTCTCTTGCCTGACCCCCTAAAACATTAGACTTTGTAATTCCGGACTTTAGCTTTCTGTGTTGTGTGAACCCCTGTTGTCAGACTGAAATCAGTTGCTGGATATGAAGCCCTGTGGCAGCACAGGCCCTTCTTCTGGTCAGGTTTTGCGGGGTATGATCTAGGATAGTAATTTCTTCTCAGTCTCAATGCCACCTGGAAGGATGACACCGCTTGGGTTTTTGTCTTTCAGGAAAGCGGGCCTGCCTTGGAGAACAGTTGGCCAAGACCGAGTTGTTTATTTTCTTCACTTCCCTTTTGCAAAAGTTTACCTTCAAGCCCCCAAACAATGAGAAACTGAGCCTGAAATTCAGAGCAGGCATTACCCTTGCCCCCGTCAGCCACCGCCTCTGTGCTGTTCCTCGGGTGTGATGTTGGGGAAGAATGAGAGAAAGGAAATAAAGAAGAAATAACACATGCTCTGAAGTCACTGATACCTGTTACGATGGGTGGGAACAGAATAAAAGTGACTGAGAAAAAGATGAGACGGATGGGACACAGGGGAACCTGGATTCAAATCCCAGCTCCACAGTGGCTTGCAAATTAGGTAGCATCAGGCAAATCACTTATGGGCTAAATAACTTACCTTTTCATCTGCAAGATGAAAAGAGCATAATGATTTCTTCCATAAGAATGTTCTCATAACAATCAGAAGAAATCATGGCCTATAAATGATGTGGAAACCAAAAGGCACATCCTAAAAGTTATTGCTGTAACCTGTCTCCTTCCTTCCTTTTTTTCTTAGGCATATATTTATTTGCTTCTGATCTGTTGAGGTAGTTGTGGATCAAAATAGTCAATAAGAGTTAGAATTTCAGTGCTTAGTCAGCCTCAGAGATCGGCCATAACTTCCTCACTTGGTGGCTCTGTCCCTGCTTACCTTGTCTGCCTCAGAATGGCCCCCCTGAGGGCCTCTCAGGGCCGATATTAGTCCCTCTTTACAGGCAGGGAAAGCAGGTACTGTGGAAGCAATCTCTGACTTAAGTAAGGAAGCTTTAATCTTGGCCTTAGATCTAGGACCAGGCAGGGCTCAGCCACAGCTAAACCAAATCTGGGAAGTACCTGGTGCCATGTGGGATCTGGCTGCCTTAACCACCAGACCATGAAACTGACCCTGTTCTACTGTTTTCAACAATAACCCTAGGACATAAGTTGCTTCACATCTGCCAACTAAATTTAGTCTCTTTCCAGAAATAGCCTTCTTGGGGGATCAGCAGGTGGCATGGTGGTTAGGGTGCTGGATACTCCCACATGGCTGACCAAGGTTCAAGTACCAGATCTGGCGGCTTGCTTTCCCACTTTCCCTCTGCTCTCTTTCTCTCTCTCTGTCTCTTTCTGGTCAAATTAAAATAAATGAACGAATAAATAAAATTGAATAAATACTTATTTTAAAAAGAAAGAAAGAAAGAAAGAAAGAAAGAAAGAAAGAAAGAAAGAAAGAAAGCCAGCCAGCCAGCCTTCTTGGCCGTCCTTGGTATATGTTCTGATCCCTGGAATGCTACTCTTAGTTGCTGCTTTCCCTAAATGATGCTTATAAACTTGTTGATGGCCTATGGTTTAGCTTATTGTTTTCCTGGAGCCACTAGCCTCCAGTTAAATTCCTATCACCAAAATCTATATTGTTTGGGGCATGGTGTCTGGCCTTTGTGGCTTATCTCTCCTAGGATAAAATCTTAATCCTTTGAACAAGCTGGGGTGAGACAATCAGTATTTTCAGCATAACTTGCCTAGGGTAATGTTTTTTCCCTATAAGTGGTGCTGGATGGAGAATATCCCTGAATCTTCAACCACTCTGGCCTCAGAATAGAGTTTCTGCCACCTGGAGATCTGGCAGCAGGGTTTGAAAATGTTGGCCACCTTTTCCTCTCAGAGAGATACTGCAGCTTCAGCTTGGAGCTAGAGGAAGTGTTCTTGGCTATACTATGCTTACAGTGGAGCTACTTTCTTTCTTTAGAGGTTTTTGCCTTAGGGCACATGTGCCTGCTGAAGAAAGAGATCTAGACAGCGAAGAGAAAGAGAAATCACTCCCCAGGGAGGATAGCCACCTTGCCATCCCTTCTCTTCCATTCTCCTTCCAGGATCTTGAGCATGCACACTCACCAGTGTGAGTCTGAATCGACTGGGTCCCGGGGTCATACCATAATAGACCATGTACAGCAACATAACTGCTATGCCATCTGCTAGGCCCTGGAGTTTCTGACGCATAGAGCAAGAGACTTTGAGAGGGAATGGGTTATGACTCAAATGCCACAGACCTTTTCTATCAAGGTGTATTAGATATTTCTTAAATAAAACTTTATCTGTTGTATACCCTTAGAACAATTTTCAGATGCTTAAATGTGAATTTGTAAATTATTTTTACCAATTTTTTTTTTCCACTGGGAAAAGGATCTCTGGAGCTCCCCATGCTTCCATTATGGAAATCATTTCTCTGCTGCATTGATTTCAATAAATAAATAAATAAATAAAGGAAGAAGGGGAATAACAAACTGAAATGTCTGATGATATGGGAAATAGGTAAATAAATTATAGTGTTGGAATACAACATGACTCACCTATTAAATGCCTTAGAACCACATGTATTGATCAGGATCGATCTCAAAAATATAATACTAATCTTTAAATTTTATTTTTATTTTTTAGAGATTTTTGCTGTAGTGCGTGTGCTCTCACCAGAGAGACAGAGACAGAGAGACAGAAAGTGAGAAATCACTCCCCAGAGGGGATGGCCAGGCTGCAGTTCCTTCTCCTCCATTCTCCTTTTGGGACTTTGGGCACACACACATGCCCCATGTGAGTTTTAAGGCACCAGGTCCAGGATTCGAACCACGGTTGACTATGTAGGAATCCAGCAATGTAACCATTATGCCATCTGCTGGTCCCATAATACTGATTTTTTAAAAAATTGTAGAATATTTTTTTTAAAAAAGCACATAAATATTAGAAATAGGTGGATAAATAATGGCTGTAGTAAAATATGAAAATGTGAAGTGGAAAGATACTAGCTAAACTTTGAGTAGTATCTCTCTCTGAAATTTGGAACTATAGAAAGAGACTTCAATTCTCTTTGCTTCATTTCTTAAAAACAAAACAAACGAACAAAAAACAGAAAAAGATTTTAAGCAGAATGTGCATCTCTATGTTGAGTCCAAGAGACTGTTATTGTGTGCCAGAACTAAGCCTCATGTTTCCAGGATCTAACAAATGGTGGGACGCTGGCAGGCACCCTAGGATGGTATGGATAGTTGGAATCCCAAGGCCTAATGCTCTTGGGGCTTGGGAAGGGAGCATCATGGGACAGACTGAGACAGTCCTCCAGGAAGTGTTCATCACACACATGCTATGGACTGTACTCAGTTCTAGCAACTTAGTGCCATGCTTCCTAAGCTCCAAAGCACTGTCAAATGCAGAACCACGTTTAGATGTGTTTCAGGTGGATGATTCATTTATTCACTTCGTACTTCGTACCTAACCTGTTTCAACTGCAAGTGGAGACTAAAGATAATCTCTCCTGCATAATTTTGTCTAAACGACACAATTTATGAAAAGGAGTGCAATACCTGTAAATAATGAGAGCTCAAGAAATGTTACCTGCCACAGTCACAACTTTCCCAGGCACTTTCCCATCACGAGGTGAGACCGTGATGGAAGACACCAGCTCAGATGTCTGCAGACTCTTTGATACGTTGCAACTTTAAACCCAAGAGCCTTAGTGGCGTCTGAGAAAGACGGGTTTTCTAAATGGAAAAGAAATCGCTTCTAGTCTGGCTCTTTCCAAGACCTGTGTGGATTCTCTCGGAATGAAAGGCTGAGTCCTGGCTTCTTCTCTGGCAGTGCTGTGATGGGAGGTACGAAGGGCGGGGCATTGCTGGTAGCGTGGTGTGGCGGAGGCGTGGCACTTGCGGGTGTACACAGTGGAGGGGCGTGGTGTGGCGGCTTTGCTAGGAGGAGGCGAGTTTGCTGAACTTGGGAGGGTACTGAAAAGACCCATTGCCTGCTCGGACCGCTGCAGAGCGAGGGGAGGTCTGAAACATGCTCGCTGCAGTAGGCTCCCTTCTGGCTGCCGCGCGGTCCGTGCTCCATCTCCGGACCCTATTGCTGGGCGCCACCTCCTTTCTCTGTTTTGTTGTCTTCCTCAAAATGCGGCTTCCAAAAAATTATCCGCCAGGGCCCTGGCGTCTGCCCTTCTTTGGCAACTTTTTCCAGTTGGACTTTGAGATGTTTCATCTGCAGCTTCAGCGGGTAGGTGTGGACGAATGCACCCTGGCCCTGATAGGCAGGACAAGGGACATCCTGGGGAATGGGTCGGTTGGATGAGTGGCTAAAGCACTGTAAACAACCCTTGGAATGTCATTTTCATTATCAGTCAGCAGGTGTGATTCTACCTGAGCTTACTAGAGGTGGTATATTACTAAATGCTAACTATTTTTTTAAGAATTATTTATTAAATTTTATTATTATTATTTTTTAATTTGCCTGGGGGGGGGGAAGAAAGTGAGAAAGCAAGGGGTCAGGTCCAGGACTCAAAATGCTATTGATATTTAAGCCTGCAAGGTGTGTTACTATCTTTTAAACTCATTTACATGTGTGTTATCTTTAGCTTTTTTTTTTTCCTGAGGTTTTGCCTTAGGGCCTTTGGACCGGGGCTGGGGGAGGGAGAGAGAGAGAGAGAGAAAGATTATGAGAGGGAAAGTGGGAAAATCACCCCCTAGGGTAGATGGCCACAGCAATCCCTTCTCCTCTATTCTCCCAGGATTTTGGCCCCATGGACCCAGTGGCATAACAGCTATTCCATCTGTTGACCCCAGCAAATTGTGTTATTTTCTTAAACAATATTGGAACATCTTATTTATAACCTAACTATATTACCCTGTTTATATTATTATACTTTACTTCTAGGAGGTTCCTTTCTCATATGTGAGCCACCGATAATACTACCTAAATACTCAACTCTCAGTCTGATTACTCCCACCACCATGACAAGTGGGGCCCCTTGCCTTCAGCCTTTTCCTCCTGTAATGCACTTTAACTAGAAGAATTATTGCACTTTATTCCATTTTTTTGTTTGTTTGTTTGTTTCCCCGGTCATGTACACTGTCCAGAGAGAGGAAGAGAGAGAAACCATTCCTCCAAAGAAGTGTGCTCACACCACAATCCCTTCTCCATTGCTCCATCCTGTCGGGATTTTGTGTACACACACACAGGCCAGTGCTTATTCCAAATCACTGAGCTGGGACTCCAGCCACATCGACCCTGTGGGATCTGGCTTCCTTAAACCACTAAGCCACAGCCTGGCCCTTATTTTATTTTATTGTAATATAATTTTAGCTGTCAGAAGATGCATACCCTTTCCAAAGACAGTCAGAGAGGGAGAAAGTATCCTCTCCTGGTGCATGATCTCATGGCAGTCACTTCCCTTCATTTCTCTGTCCAGTTAGAGTTTTGGGCATGACCAGTGTATTTTCCAAGTCAGTGGGGCTGGGATTTGAACCACTGTTGGCTCTGTGGGGTGCAGGTCCCTTTACCAATAGACTATGACGCTGGCTCAAAGTAATAATTTTAAAATGCCATTCCTCTGATTTAACTTTCTCAGCGCCCTCCCACCGCCTCCCAAACAGGATTCAGCCCCCTTACAGAGTCTCTTAGAACCTTTTTGACCCAGCCTCTTCCCACCTATTCAGAGTCTGTCACCAGCACTTCCTAACTCTGTAATTTTCAGATATTGAACCCTTTGTCATGAATCCTCCCCTATCTGATTTCCTGCTACTCAGTACAGGTAATCTGACAGGTGGTTGTAGAGATTAAGTAACACAGTATGTGGTCAGCATTTGCAAGCTTAGAGTTGTTGCACAATCAGTACTAGTTCCCCTTTCGCTGCAAATGCCTGGAGTATATTCAAGTATAGATGAATAAGGTTTTATCACACTATGGGAAAAATACCCATTGAGTAACACTAAGTGACACAATTAGTCACGGAATTTGAAAACTAGGCCCCTAAACTTGTGCTCTTTTTTAAGAAATGTGTTCTTTAATTGCCAAGTTTGGGGAGATTTTTCTGTTATCTTTATGTTAGTGACTTCCAGTTTGATTCCATTGCTGCCAGAGAACATATTTGTATGATTTTAATTTTTTTAGATATATTAAAGTTGATGTAGTGACAGACCATATAGTCTATCTTGATAAATATACTACACATGCTTAAAAAAATACATCCTATTATTCTTATCTGGAGTCTTTTATACATGTCAGTTAGATCTTACTGGCTAACAGTGTTGTTTGGGTCTTCTGTACCTTGTTGACTTCTTATCTACTGATTCTCTCAGTTATTGAGAAAGGCATGTTGAAGTTTCCAAAAATAATTCTGAGTTTGTCTATTTCTCCATTCAGTTCTGATAGTTTTTCTTTAATGTATTTGGAAGCTCTATTGTCTTATGCAAACACATTTAAGATTGTCTGGGCCAGCTTGGTGGTTGGGGGAGCTGGATTCTACATGGCCAACCACATGGTTCAAACCCATCCTTCCAAAAATGCATGCCAGGCATGCCCCAAATTCTGAGAGTATGGACAAACATAGAAGACATAATTGCAGCATGATCTGAAGAACTTCCTTTAGCCATTTTAGAACAGATTTGCTAGCAAAACAAAACATTCTCAGCATTGGTTCACCTAAGGATGTCTTCATTTCCCCTTCCTGTCTCAAGTGTATTTTCACTGGACATAGAATTCCACGTTGATGATTTGTTCCTTCATTCAACTTTTAAAATGTCATGCTACATCTTTCTGACCTCTGCAGTTCCTGAGAAATCTGTTATTTTAATTGTCCTTGTAAGTAATGAGTTTTTCTTCTGTCTGCTTTTAAGAAATTTTCTTTGGTTTTAGTTTTCAGATTATTATAAGTATTAGTGATGATTTCATTTGAGGTCTCCTGTTGGAGTTCTTGAATCTGTTGGATTGTCTTTTGCCAAGTTTTGATGGCCATCCAGCCATTCTTTCTTCAATTCTTTTTTTTAACAACACATTATTTTTCCTCTCTTTCTGGGACTCTTGGACACTGGGCCATAAATGTTGGATAGCCTCTTATAACATAGATCCTGAGGCTCTGTATCTATTGTTTCCTATCTATTTTTCTATGTTATTAAGATTGAATACTTTCTACTGATCTGTCTTAAATTTCACTGCATCTTCCATCACTACCACTCTGCTACTGAGCTGTTCTATTGAGTTGTTTATTTGAGTTATTATATTTTTCAGTTCTAAAACTTCCACTTGGCTCTTCTTTGTATCTTCTATTTCTTTGCTAAGGCTTCTGTTTTGGTTGATTATTGTAAGGTTGTTTGTCATTGGAACATTTTCACAACAGCTACTTTAAAATCTTTAATTAGCCTATGATTCCAAAATCTCTGTCATTTTAGAATTGGTGTCAACCTATTCAAATTGAGATTATTCTGGTTCTTGATACAGGAAGTAAATTTCAAACGTTTCTTAGACATCTTGTGTATTATGGAGACAGACTTACTCTAGATACTATTTAAATCTGTTACACAAGTGAAGAGCCTGTTTAGGTTCTGAATGCTCGTTTCTGTCAATTTAGGCCATAAGGTCTCTGCAGGGCTATTCTGGTCTCACTTTGTGTTACCCACCCCCACAGGAGACCACCCCACATTCTTATCACTGTGGACTGGAAGAAGAAAGATGAAGGTGAAGGACAGCAAATCCCTAGATAGGGTGACTTCTTTCTTCCTCGGTGGGGGGAATGGAAGTCAGAGATTCGCCCACATCTGCTCTGCAGGGGTTGGCACCTCCTTTTTACTGTAGGAGGAGGGTGGAAATCAGAATTCTGCTCCCTAGCAGAATGCTATCAGAATATTCCTGCTCTTGGGAGTCTCTTTGCTCAATGTAAGTGTAGAAATAGACTCATCTCACAGATTCAGAAGGGAAGACACCACCTTGTTACTGAATAGGCAGAGTGACAGAGAAGGTTCCACCAATGAACTCCACTGTTGCAGCACCCCTTCCGGCACCATTTAGGATGTGGCTAGGTCCCATGTGTTTTATCCTGTTTGCCTTCAGAACAGAGAGATAAAAAGGATAAAAGATATTTATTCTGTTGGTGTTTCCTTTTCCTAGTCTTTTGCTAGAATGAGTAGACTTTTCTTAAGAGTTATTTTTGTCTCTGTCGGTTAGTGTCATAATTAGTAGAAGTAAAACAGTAATTTCATTCCGTTTTCTCTGGAATAAGAAGTTTGATCTGTAGCCTTGTTTAACTATAAGATAGACGTGGTTCGAGAAGTTAATGACTTTTCCAGTATCACAAAACTGGCTACTGATTAAACAGACTAGGATCTTATCCCTGGCCCAGTAATTTTCCATCACACCGTTAACTTTTATTTTACATAAGTTTTCATGTTTGTGTTTCTGGATGTAAAACAAATGGAGTTAAGTGGTGTAATTTAGTTATAATTAAATTTACATTATTACATTCAAAAAACATTAAGTGCTAGGTAACTATTCAGGATCAGGATTTGTATCTTTATTTTCACTTCATCTTTATGATAGACACCAAGTTAGGTATTATCTGGCAATATTTCCATTTTAAAACTGTATAAAGTGTCTGGAAACAAACAGTAAGCTTATGTGCCCATATTACTCAGATGGATAACGGCAAAACAAGGTCTTCACCTTAGACTGTTAGACTTAGATACCCATTCTTTACTTATGCTATCCAATTTTTCATAACATAGTTAAAAGATAATTCACTTTTTCATACCATTCAACACACACTTCTTAACCACATGCCAAGCCCAACACAAGACAGTATGTGATGAACTGTACAGTGCAAATCCTTGATAGCCAAATGAGATATCAGGAGATGAGATCATTGTGAATGGAAAACCCAGGGGATAATCTTTGTAGAATGTTAGAATAAATTGGACTGAACTTTAATAGGATGTTTGGTAAGTGGCTAAGTGGAGTTAAAGGACAGGAAATTTTTAAACAAGAGAAAATGCCACGAACGAAAACATACCAAGACGATAACAAAGAGACTTGCTTGTTTGTATGGGATGAGAGGAACCTCTCCCCCATTTCCACAATTTACTGTAACTCTAAGTCTTATTATAGGCACATTTATGTGATGGGAGAAAATCTTATTGAATTACAGTGGCAAAATGGTAGATCGGATTAATACATGTATTAGGATACATATCAACCTGCTTCTAACAAAGTGACCCCAAAATGCAGTG